AGTGACCTCCAATTCTTCTAGTAATGGCGTGGGTTTCGCTTTGAGAGTCTCATTAACATAATTGGGAACAACACAGAAAAATATCCTGATGACCCTTTGCAACCGCACTTCTGCGTTTGTGAGATAACAATGTCATTTGAACCCTATGTTTTATCCTGGCTCTGTTTGGGTTTTGCTTTTTCGGTAGAATGCCTTTGACACGTTCCGAGCTCATTTATCACCAAATCACCATTCTTCGGCTGATTTCCAACAGAGCTGTCATTTAACTGTATCTGGGGAAACCTGTAATTTTTTGCACGGCTCGGAAAGTTCACTGAGGAAGTAGGAATATAAGGACATGCTGAGCCCTTCTGGCATTGAGCTTTGGTAGGATGATACTCTCGGACTAGCAGCATCATCCTAACACTGGAAAATAATGATAGGCTTTGGTGGGCCATTGTAATCATTCCTTCAAAAAACAATTTTACACCTAACCTATTTCACAAGATCATTAAGATAAAAATGGAGAAAATAGTGTACCTTTAACAGAGGCATGGGCAAACTATGGCCCTCCAGGTGTTTTCGACTTCAACTCCCACAGTTCCTAACAGCCTCAGGCTCCTTCCTTTCCCCCCTCAGCCACTTAAGCATTTCAGCACACCCAAATACTTGGGAGTTATCCTGGACCGTTCTCTGACCTACAAGAAGCACTGCCTGAATATCAAGCAAAAAGTGGGTGCTAGAAACAATATCATTCGAAAGCTGACTGGTACAACCTGGGATCACAACCAGACACAGTGAAGACATCTGCCCTTGCGCTATGCTACACTACTGCTGGCGTACTGCATGCCCAGTGTGGAACACATCTCACCACACTAAAACAGTGGATGTGGCTCTTAATGAGACATGCCGCATTATCTACTGGAGAAATTACACTGTTTAGCCGGTATTGCACCACCTGACATCCGCTGGGGAGTAGCAACCAATCGTGAATGGACCAAGGCAGTAACATCTCTGGCCCACCCCCCGTTTGGGTATCAGCCAGCATGCTAATGGCTTAAATCTAGAAATAGTTTTCTAAGATCTACAGAGGCACTCGCTGGAACACCTCAGCAAGCGAGAGTCCAAAAGTGGCAGGCTCAAACCCAGAACCTCAATCAATGGCTGATAACAAATGAGAGATTCCCCCCTGTGCACACAGAAAACTGGGTGACTTAGAAGACACTGAACAGGCTCTGCTCTGGCACCACGAGATGCAGAGCCAACCTTAAGAAATGGGGCCACAAAGTGGAATCCACGACATGCGAGTGTGGAGAAGAGCAAACCACTGACCACCTGCTGCAATGCAACCTGAGCCCTGCCACATGCACAATGGAGGACCTTCTTGCAGCAACACCAGAAGCACTCCAAGTGGCCAGATACTGGTCAAAGGACATTTAATAGAATACCAAGTCTACAAACTATGTGTTTTGTTTGTTTGTTTTTAATGCAATACAACTGTTTTGGTTCACTCCTGACATTATAAATAAATAAATAAATCATGAGAATACTCAATTAATTCGTATAGTACACAAGCATGGGGAACAAATACAATGGGACTATTTATAGTAGTGTAACAAAAATAATATTCATGTTTTCAAAATAATTAATTGAATCTTCCAAAAGTCGTGTGGACAGACTTTAACATATCCAAAATAGTCCCATGTGAGTTCAAGATGAGTTAAAAAGTCTTGGGAAAACTACATGGATTCCCGGGTGTTTATCATCTTTGTTTCAGGAGGAGTATCCCTGCCTCCGGTGGCGCAGTGGGTTAAAGCACTGAGCTGCTGAGCTTGTTGATCAAAAGGTCGCAGGTTCGATTCCGGGGAGCGGCGTGAGCGTCCGCTGTCAGCCCTAGCTTCTGCCAACCTAGCAGTTCGAAAACATGCAAATGTGAGTAGATCAATAGGTACCGCTCCGGCGGGAAGGTAACGGCGCTCCATGCAGTCATGCTGGCCACATGACCTTGGAGGTGTCTACGGACAACGCTGGCTCTTTGGCTTAGAAATGGAGATGAGCACCACACCCCAGAGTCAGACACGACTGGACTTAATGTCAGGGGACTACCTTTACCTTTTTATCCCTTCTTCAGGTTTCTTTCAAGGTTTCTTCAATCGTTTGAAATAATATCTTCTAAGGCTTTATAAACTAAACTTAAAGAAGACAAAATAATACTTTTTGTCCACACGACTTTGGAAGATCGACTAATTATTTGGAAAACATGAATATTATGTTTGTGATACCATTGTAAATAGTCCCATCGTATTTGTTCCCCACACTTGTGTACTATACGAATTAATTGAGTATTCTCATGATTAACTGAATTGATACTTTTGCTGAAGTTTATAGCAACAGGACATGTGTGTATTTACATTGTACTTATAGATACCTGTGTAGTTAGGGTGGTAACGGCCGACAGGGAGCTCTGGCATGGGCTGGTCGATTAGGTCACGAAGAGTCAGAAGCTACTGAACGAATAAACAACAAATAAGTCGAGAGGCCAAAAGTTAAGGATTTTGAGCCATGGATAAGCTTAAGGTTGTTCTGCGGAAAGGGAAAAGCTCCAATGGCACTTCAAGCCACTCAAATCCAGTCATTCAAAATCTCATTGTTGTCTAGATCTTGGTTCTTCTCTTCCATCATTTAGAATTAATATTGCAATCAGATTGATAGCCTATAATGTTGTTGTTGTTGATGATGATGATTAAAGGGCCACACAACAATGGTTGCAATTCAATCTCTTTAATAAATATTGTCACAACAAAACATCACAATCTACCTAACGCGAGTAATGAGATCATAGTGAAGATCAGGTATGGGCAAACTTGGGCCTTCCAGGTGTTTTGGACTTCAACTCCCACAATTCTTAACAGCTGCTTTCACACTCCACAAAACAATGCTATGGCTCTACTTGAGCTCTGTGGCTTGCAATATCTTGGGAATGGTAGTCTAATAAGGCACCAGCTTTCTGTTTAAGAATTGTAAATATCCCTCCCTAAACTGCAAATCCCGGGATTCCATGCAGGGGAAATGAGGCAGTTAAAGTGGAATGATAGTACTATAACTCTGTGGTGTAACCGGTCTCAGCTGAATAAAGATGGCACTTACAAAGCAACAAAACAGACAGGACCAGCTAAAAAACAACACTCAGAAAACAGGGGAAGTCAAGACTAGGGTCAACTAACACATCCCAACAAAGGATTCCCTCCAGGCAGGAAGCAGCCAGGCTTTGAAGCTGCCAGGCCATTCCATGCTAATCAAGCTGTCCAATTGCAACATTCACACTGGCCTCAAGCAGACAAGAGTCCTTATTCCCACGGATATATAAACATCACTTGTCTAGTTTCCAACAGACCTCACAACCTCTGAGGATGCCTGCCATAGATGTGGGTGAAACGTCAGGAGAGAATGCTTCTGGAACATGGCCATACAGCCCGGAAAACTCACAGCAAACCAGTGATTCCTGCCATGAAAGCCACTATCCTAGCTCTGCCGTCATATTATAAAAAGGCAAGCAGTGTAAAGGCCCTTTGTGTAACAGGAGACCAAAAGATATATGGAATATCTATCTATTTCTATAAGGAGAGCAAGACCATGTAAACATGAACACCCTGAATTCATACAATATATTATTCCTAATAAGGCGGGTAACAAGACTGGGAGCCATCTGAGATCCTAAAGGAAAAATGTATTGGCTGGAAAATGAGTTGGATAAACAAATCAATTGCTGAACGGTGAGTTGGGACTAACAATAAGATTTAGGTTCTTATCAACTCAGCACCAAAGCACACAGGGAGTCAATCAAGCAATCTGAATCATGACGGTTGAGTTCTTGGGTGTTTTCTTGCATTGCACTTTGTCTTTGATTGGAAGGACAACACCTCTCTTTTGTTTATGTGGACATGGATTAGGGACAAAACACAGGGACAAAACACACAAAAACTAGCAGCAATTCCTTGCCAAAATAATAACAAGGGTCAGAAAAGAATGTTGGCAAAGGGAGGAGGCAAGGGGATAAAACAGGGCAAAGTCTGATCCTACATTACAAATGCTGCCTTTGCAGCAGTTGGTACTACAGTCTGCATCAATATACACAGGGATCGTTTAGACTTGTAAAGGAAAGCACCCCATACTAATCACATATCCAGCAGTGACAGTTTTCACAATATACAGCAACTTCTGGTAGGTATACAGAGAAACTCCCCTCCTTAACTTGACTTTGCTCTGCACTAAGTTAAGATACTCTAAAGCACTGTTTCTCAACCTTCTGCATGCCGTGACCCCTTAATACAGATCCTCATGCTGTGGTGACCCCCCAACCATAAAATTATTTTTGTTGCTTCTTCATAACTGGAATTTTACTATTGTTATGAATTGTCATGTAAATATCTAATATGCAGGATGTATTTTCATTCACTGGACTAAATTTGGCACAAATGCCCAATATGCCCAAATTTGAATACTAGTGGGGTTGGGGGTTTGATTTTGTCATTTGGGAGTTGTCGTTGCTGGGATTTATAGTTCACCTAAAATCAAAGAGTATTCTCAACTCCACCAACAATGCAATTGAACCAAACTTGGCACACAGAATTCCCATGACCAACAGAAAATACTGGAAGTGTTTGGTGGGCATTGGCCTGGAGTTTTGGAGTTGTAGTTCACCTACATCCAGAGGGCACTGTGGACTCAAACAATGATAGATCTGGACCAACTTGGCATGAATACTCAATATGCCCAAATATGAACACTGGTGGAGTTTGGAGAAAATAGACCTTGACATTTGGGAGTTGCAGTTGCTGGAATTTATAGTTCAACTACAAAGAGAATTCTGAACCCCACCAACTATAGAATTGGGCCAAACTTCCCACACAGAACCCCCATGATCAACATGAAATACCATGTTTTCTGATGTTCTTTAGTTACCCCTCTGACACCTCCCTCGTGACCCCCCCCCCCCGCCCCGCCCCGCCCCGCCCCGGACTCACGACCCTCAGGTTGAGAAACGCTACTCTCAAGTTTTCAGAAAACTCTATAAACATGGCTACAAAGTCTTTCATTCAAGCTCAAACGTGCTATGAGATCTCTTTGACTAGTAATGCAGAAAGTCTAACTGGAACTAGAACTCAGCAAAGTTTGCTGTTGAACCAGAACCTGTTTTCACCAAGGCTCCTTCCACACAGCTGAATAAAATTCCACATCATCTGCTTTGAACTGGGATACATGGTAGCATGGACTAAGATAAACCAGTTCAAAGCAGATATTGTGGGTGATTCTGCCTTGATATTCTGAATTATATGGCTGTGTGGAAGGGCCCCAAGTTGACCCAAGAGATGTTGATGACTGAGTGAAACCCAATTGGATTATGCAGCACACACTTAGATCCAAAATTTAAAACTTCCTGATGTATCCTCCAGAACGGTGTACAGTCCTACCCACCCCAACTGGTGATACTGCATGAAGCAGGTTCTCCTTCCTGCTGGATGATAGGACCATTCCTGGGTTTTCAAAGCAAAGTCTCTGTTCTTGGAACAGGAAAAACCATCAAATCAAAAAGAGTGTCTTAAAGCACCCATCAAAGATTCCTTTCTTTGAGAGCTGGATGTTGGTGACCACCCAAAACACAGGATAAGATGACGAATCAAGAATCCTCCATTGAGAACTGGTTTGACCTAATCTACCAGTAACTGAATGGTCCTAAAACTAGAGAAGTATATTCCACTGCTGTTGTGTCATCACCAAAATTGTGGGGAAGGGGGGAAGGACTAAGAATGTGTAACCAAATTGATGTAGGGCAGGTCCATAAATTGCTTTCATCCATAGTTAGTTGGACTATGCCTTCAGAGGACAGGGTTCAAGTCCCTGCTAAGTCATGGAAAGTCCTTGGGCAAGTGACACTCTCTCAGACTCAGAGGAAGATAAAGAGCAAACCTCCTCTGAACCAATTTTGCAAAAAAAACCAAAACCCTTCATGATATGTCTCTCTTACGTCAGAAATAGGCACATAACAAAGTCAGATGAAGCCTTCAAATGTGCACAAAACACTGACCACCAGTCATTGGAAACACCTGTATGGGGCTTCAACTGTGCACTATCAGAAACAGGATACTAGGTTACAAAAAACATATTATAACCTAGCAAGACCTTTCTTATGTTCTTAAAAACAGAACAAAACTCTTGACAAACTCTGTGAACACAGGAGTGTATTGAACAGTCGTTCTGGATGCATTTGTCCAGAAGATGCCCATTCACCTTGGAGCGACCCTTGTCGATGAATACATCCAATGGTCCAACACCATTTCCCTTTGGAGGAGATGCCCACCTTCCAAATATTGAGTCAGCCTACCACGCTTGGAGTTGCCAGACATGAAACACACGTGCAGCAGGCACACAGGCCAAGTAACGCTGACAATGCTGCCGAAAATCGAGACTGCCGCTCATATTTAAGAGCTTTCTTGACCTCCTCGTTCGACTGGGAGATGTAATCGAGGGTGTGGATGACATTGTACTCAATGTTGTTGATGGTCTCCCCTTGCTCAGCAACCAGGACCTCGAAGTGTAGGAAGAGAGAGTGGAGCTCACTGATCTGGGCCTCCAAGTCCAGCAGCTGTTGGTGCCGCACTTGTGCCAAGGCTAAGTGTTGCTTGGCTTTGAGCACCTCCAGGTCTTGGCCCACAATGCGGGGGGCCATTGGGCTCTCCACCAGGTGCTTGATGTCCTCCTCCTGGAGACTCAAGCCAGCTAATTCTGTCTGTCTCCTGATTTGCTCCTTCAGCTTCTCCACGTACTGGGTCTCCTTGGCATAGTGGCGGGTGATGATCTCACGGTAGCGGTTGACCAAGACAGAAAGTTGGGTATGGCGGATGCGGTGGACAGCGAGCCACTGCCGGCTGTCTCTGGTGAGGGACTCTTGGATGCCATTGAACTTGGGTTGAAGAGTTTTGGCCTCCTTGGTGAAATAGTCCTTGACTTGACTGAGCTCTTTCTTTTCTTCGCAAATGCTCTCCTCCGTGGTGCAGCACAGGACCTGCTGTTGCTTCTTGTCGATGTCCTCCGATAATTCCTCCAGTTTGTCCAGAGCCAAGGAGAGGCTGCTGATTTCCTGGAACACTTTGATCATGGGATTGCTTTCCTCCTCTTTGAAGACAGGGTTGTCGAAGGAAAGTGTCGACTCCAGCTCCCAAGCATCCGTGTCTTCATTCACTCGGTTCTTCAGTTCCTCTAACCTGTCCTTCATCTTCAGCTCTCCTCCAAGCTGGCGGCATCGGTGCAAAAGGAGGAGAACAAGGCACACCCATGAGCTTTTACGAGAGTTTTAAGACACTTTTGGAACTTTTGCGTCAGTCAGAACCTTTTCAAAAAGAAAAAAAAGAGAAAGGAAGATTGAAAAAGGAAAACTTCCCTCCCTTCAAGCTATTGCAAATATTGACTGTGGCAATAAGTGTCTAACCCGGCGTTTGCTCTCTATCACATGGTTAACTCCAACCGGCTGGACTAGATTCCATGCCAGGTGTGGGTGGCACGCAACCCAATGGCAGCGCATAAGCCGCAGCAATGACCCTTTTGAGTGCAGTCATGGGGAAAGCATGAAAGCGAGGGAGGGGATGTTTCAAACCAGACTCGACCAACTCCAAAGGTGATCCTGTGGCAGCCTGAACTACCAGCCAGAGCAAGCTGTATACATATTGCAAGATTCCTCTATCATAGAATCACACAGTTGGAAGAGACCTCGTGGGCCATCTAGTCCAACCCCCTGACAAGAAGCAGGAAAATTGCATTCAAATCACCCCTGACAGATGGCCATCCAGCCTCTGTTTAAAAGCTTCCAAAGAAGGAACCTCTAACACACTCCAGGACAGAGAGTTCCACTGCTGAACAGCTCTCACAGTCAGGAAGTTCTTCCTAATGTTCAGATGGAATCTTCTTTCTTGTAGTTTGAAGCTATTGATCCATTGCATCCTAGTCTCCAGGGCAGCAGAAAACAACTTCGCTCCCTCCTTCCTATGACTTCCTCTCACATACTTATACATGGCTATCATGTCTCCTTTCAGCCTTCTCTTCTTCAGGCTAAACATGCCCAGCTCTTTCAGCCGCTCCTCATAGGCCTTGTTCTCCAGACCCTTGATCATTTTAGTCGCCCTTCTGTGGATACATTCCAGCTTGTCAATATCTCTCTTCAATTGTGGTGCCAAGAATTGGACACAATATTCTAGGTGTTGTCTAACCAAGGCAGAACAGAGGGGTAGCACGACTTCCCTGGATCTAGACACTGGACTCCTATTGATGCAGACCAAAATCCCATTGGCTTTTTTTGCCAATGGTGGAGACGTGGGACAGGGCCTTCTCGGTGGTGACCCCCTGCTTGAGGAATTCACTCCCCAGCAAGATTAGATCGCCATCCTCCCTCCTTTCCTTTAAGAAAAAACTGAAATTGTGGTTTTGGAACCAGGCTTTTGGCTAGCAGGCATAACTGCACTTTGGACATTGAACTGGACCATATGATTGTTATAATAATGGAAACAACACATTGTTGGCTCATGTTTAATTTGTTGTCCATGAGGACTCCAAGATCTTTTTCACACAATATTTTTATTATTATTACAGGTTGAACCTCTCTTATGTAGAATTCCAAAATTCCAAACATTCCAAAATTGTCCACTTAAATGGCTGAGATAACCACACTTTTGCTTTCTGATGATGCAGTATACACAAACTTTGCTTCATGCCCCAAATGATTAAAAATATGGTGTACAAAATGATATTCAAACTATGTCTATAACATGTCTATGAAACATATATGAAGTTCATATTTTCAATTGAGTCCCATCTAGCACAACATCATCTTATGTGCATATATGCAAATTCCAAAAGCCAAACAAAAACCCAAGCTTCCAAACACTTCTGTTCCCAAACATTTCAGAAAAGGGATACTCAACCTTAGTTGTTATAGTTGTAAATGGACTTAAAGCCAACTTGGGATAGACACCGAGAACTGGGAAGCCCTGGCCCTTGAGCGCTCTAGCTGGAGGTCAGCTGTGACCTGCAGTGCTGTGGATTTTGAAGAGGCATGAATGGAGGATGAAAGGGAGAAACATGCCAAGAGGAACATGCATCAAACCAACCCTAACCAAGACCGCCTTCCACTGCAGGAGAATGTGCGGTGAAGAATAGGTCTCCACAGCCACCTATGGACCCACTGCCAAGACACTACACTTGGAGGACCATCATCCTTGGGCTACAAGGGATCGCCTAAGTAAGTAAGTAAGTAGTACTACTAGTAGGAATATAGGAATTCTGCTGGTAAATCCCAATTAAAGTAGATAAATTCAATCAAGTCAGTGACGAATCAACACATAGCTTAATCCAGTTTATTCAACGGTTCTACTCTAGTTGAGGCTATATTTCTATTCCGGGACTTAGAGAAATTTACAATGCATTAAAAAGCATGTTGCGGAAAATGGACAGGTGGTTTTAAGGGTTTAAATGTTATAAAATTACACCCAGTTTAAACATAAACCATTAAACAAACCGACACACACAACAGCAAAATAGATGGAAAAATCCAGTGTGTTATTTAGATAGGATGAGTCCTATGCCATTGCCCATCAAATGCCTTTTGATACGGAAAAGTTTCAGCAAGATCCTGACACCCTGTCCAAGGAGACACTTCTTTCTTTGGTCATTTCCACACATCTGTAGAAAATCAACATTGAATTGTATTTTATGGCAGTGTGGATTCAGATAGCCCTGTTCAAAACAGATATTGTGGATTACCTGCCATGATATTCTGGGTTATATGGCTGTGTGGAAGGGCTCTGAGAGTCAGCAGTTGCTGTTTTTGCTCATTTACCAGGAATGGAAAGATGGATGAGCAAGTGCATTTGTCTAAGGGCCCTTCTACACTGCCATATAATTCACATTATCAAAGCAGATAATCTACATTACCTACTTTGAACTGGATTATATGAGTCTACACAGCAATTACTTACTTAGGAGATCCCTTGTAGTCCCAGGATGATGGTCCTCCAAGTGTAGTGTCCTGGCGGTGGGTCCATAGGTGACTGTGGAGATTCCATCTGAACATGAGGAAGAACTTCCTGACTGCCGTTCAGCAGTGGAACTCTCTGCCCCGGAGAGTGGTGGAGGCTCCTTCTTTGGAAGCTTTTAAACAGAGGCTGGATGACCATCTGTCAGGGGTGATTTGAATGCAATATTCCTGCTTCTTGGCAGGGGGTTGGACTGGATGGCCCATGAGGTCTCTTCCAACTCTTTGATTCTACGATTCTTCTTGGTCTGCATCTTCTCCCACAGTAAGGGCATTGGTTTCCAGGTGGAAGGCTTGGCACGTTTCTCTCTTTCACCCTCCATTCGTGCCTCTTCAAATTCTACAGTACTGCTGGTCACAGCTGACCTCCAGCTGGAGCGCTCAAGGGCCAGGACTTCCCAGTTCTCAGTGTCTATGCCAGAATTTTTAAGGTTGGCTTTGAGCCCACCTTTAAATCTCTTTTCTTGTCCTCCAACATTCTGTTTTCCGTTCTTGAGTTTGGAATAAAGCAACTGCTTTGGGAGATGGTGGTCGGGCATCCGGACAACGTGGCCAGCCCAGCGGAGTTGATGACGGAGGACCATTGCTTCAATGCTGGTGGTTTTTGCTTCTTCCAGCACGCTGACATTTGTCCGCTTGTCTTCCCAAGAGATTTGCAGGATTTTCCAGAGGCAGCGCTGATGGATTCGTTCCAGGAGTTGCATGTGATGTCTGTAGATAGTTCATGTTTCGCAGGCATATGGCAGGGTTGGGAGTACAATAGCTTTATAAACAAGCACCTTGGTATCCCTATGGATGTCCTGGTCCTCCAACACTCTCTGCTTCATTTGGAAAAATGCCGCACTCGCAGAGCTCAGGCGGTGTTGTATTTCAGTGTCGATGTTGACTTTGGTGGAGAAGTGGCTCCCAAGGTAGCAAAAATGGTCAACATTTTCTAATGTCACACCATTAAGCTGTATCTCTGGCATTGGAGAGGGATTGCCTAGTGACTGCTGGAAGAGCACTTTGTTTTTCTCGATGTTTAATGACAGTGTGCTGTCACACGCTGGGCCTGTGCATAAGATTGTAGACAGGACATAAATTCCATGTGCCCAACGGGACGCCGGGGCTGCCTCAGATTAAAGGCCCTTGCATTTCCTTAAAACAGAGTCTTTAGATTGCTTAAAGGTTCAACAATGTTCTTTATTAATGAAAACAAACAGGTACTTTAAGGCTTTCTTGATAGCCTACTGGCTCTCTCTCAGTCTTGTCCACGGGGAACAGGCACTATCTTCATAACTGTAACTAATGGGGAAATCCTTAACTTCTAATCTGGGCAGTCTGTCTTTGCCTCTGTTGGCGTGGAGCCCCTGCACCCGGTACCAACTGCTTCTGGCTTCCACGAGTGACCCTTACCAAGCAGAGCTTTGTAGACTTCCAGGGGAAAAGGAGTTCAGGTTTCAGTGATGGTTGACTGAAGTCCCTCCGCAAAGGAGCTGTAAGGCTGTATGATCCTCTGCCAAGCTATAGGGCTGTATAACCCCAACCAAGCTGTAGAAGACGAAGCTTTCTACAGGAGCTCTTGGTATTATGTCCTGCACGAAAGGCTTCTCTGTGTGGACTGAACCCAATCTGGCTCCTATTCCCTCCAAAACCCAAAAAGGGGGCGGGACCAGGGAACCTAACTATAATTGACAGGTAGCTTGCCCTATGATTGCAGCCAAAAGAAGCCACCTATCTGCAGAGTCCCTGAAACTTAGGACTGCAACAAACATACAATGCAAAGCAAACAAAATTGGAGCTCCTGGAACAGCTGTACCTGCACAGACAGGCTGAGCTTTTCATATGCTTCTGTGAAGGGGTTTAGGTGTTTAGAGTGTTTCAGTGATGATGAAATAGGAAAGTAACACAAACCAGTTGAAAGATATTGAGTCTCCCATTTACAAAGAGTTCTAGAGTCTGGGTTGTTGTAGGTTTTTTCAGGCTATATGGCCTGAAAAATGTCTCTCCTGACATTTCGCCTGCATCTATGGCAAGCATCCTCAGAGGTTGTGAGGTCTGTTGGAACTAGAAAAATTGGGAAGAGTTCTAGAGTCCTTGGATGAAATTAGGATCAAAGTCTAAATTAAATTAATAGGACTATAACATAGCTTGCCACTCCGAGTTTAATATAGATTCCCTGCAGTGAGTGGAGACAGGAAAGGGGTTTCCCGACAATCATGTGTCACTGTGCGTTCTTCCTGTTGTATTTGCAGGTAGCTTTACAACACACCTGTTCCTGGTTGAGATTAAAACAGCTATTAATCACTTTCAGTTAACACATCCACCAGCTTCGAGATTCAATGCTGGGAAAATACAAGCAATTGCCTATGACTAGGGACAC